AAAGATGAGATCACGAACCGTATAGCAAAAGCTCGATGAGCTCTTGCTAGTCTTCGCCACCTATGACACCGGCGCGACAACACTCTTGCCTTCAAGGGTAGAGTCAACAATGCAGCGGTAGGTTCGACCTTACGGTTGTGTAACCTGGCCCCTTAGATCAGCGAACATAAAGAGGTTAGTTACATTCAACCACCGGTGCCTTCGAAATTGAGCTCACATCTGGTGGGAACAACGCGTGAGCAACCAGCGTGTTCGACGCCTTGTTTACGGCACAGGAAAAGGAAATTAACCGCTCAGCACCGTTATTTCACGCACCAGGCTCTGGTGGCTCGGCCACGTGTTACGCATGCCAGCCCACCGACTCCCGCGACGTGCGCTGTTTGCGCGCGCGGGGTGTGGATGGAAAAAGAGAAGAGGTGGCCAAGCGATGACTTGGTAGAGAGGAATGAAGACCCCCAGTTCGAAGCATGCCTCAGTTGGAGCGTCTCGGCTCCCTGGTTGGGGTCCGAAAGACGAACACGTCTGGCTGGATACACTTGTTGATATGGCTAGGAGCCGACCTCAGTGGCGTTCCTTCTGTGAGTTTCTTTGTCCCTCCAATTACCGTGTAGCCTCCCCATCCAACCACGATCTCATTTCGTAGCGCAATATAATTTCACATAATAATTTTTCTTGTTGCCTAGTAGCCGGCTGGTAGCTTTCCGAAACGATGCCCATCCGTTGCTGGTAGCTCAGCTGGCATGCAACTGTTATAATCATATTAATTTTTCTTTAATGTATTGTGGCACAGTAGCTGAGGTGTTTTACACTTCTAGCTAATGTGTGTAATGATGATGATGATGATTGTACAACTGTTACACTGAAAGTCTTAAAACGACTGCTTATTCCTCTGATTGCACCAAGCGCCCAAACTAGTGATGCCTACCAGTTTTCTTTGAAACCCAAACGCTCTACGTTGGATGCAATGGCGTATCGAGTTCACTCAATAGCATCTGGGTTTGATGCTAAATGTAAGGCAGTACGTCTGCTTTCCTGGATTATTCAGACTTTTGGGAGTGTCGTCAGGTCACTGCTTCTCAACTTATTATTCACAAACGGCGTCCAATCAGCGGTGTGTAATCTAATTGGAAATTGTTTTACAAATCGCTCGCAATTCACCCAACTGAACGGCAAAAAGTCCTCGACTCTTGGTGACGACTGGGGTATTTTACAGGAAGCAATCCTCTCCCCTTTTGTTTTCTGTGTACATCGAGAGACCTCCTATTCCATCAGGTTTTATTGGATGGAAATACGCCGAGGACGTTATTTTAGTCAACGTCTTTCCCACCAACGAGTCATTCTCAGCGCTTCAAAAATGGTTGAACGAGCATGAACGGTGGTCATCTTCCCGATCCCTTGGTCACAACGCTTCAAAGTGCTGAGACTTAAGCTTTTCTCTTCTCCACGCTGACAAATGTCAAACTTTGCCCAGTGCTTCGAGCCCCATTGTTGTTAACGAATGCATTATACCTAGTTCACTCACTGTTAGGTATCTTGGTGTATTTTTATCCAAAAACTTAACGCGGTCTACACACATCGACGAAACTATTCGCAACGTAAGGAAGCTGTCATTTTATGCCCTGCGGCTCAAGCTGTTTTCAATACCACACTAGTTAATCTATAAATTCGTAGCTACCTGCATTCACTCTCATTGGTTGTACTGCTCGCCTGTTATTTTCCCTGGTCTTCTTCAAAAAACTTCCAATTATTGTCCGTTTGAGTAAGCTTATCTCTAGATGCAGTAGACTTCATTTTTATCAAGCATTTTGATGCATGCCACAGATTTTAACTGATCCGTAGCACCCACTCCACGATGAGTTATCGAAAACTCGTTCCTTCTCATCTACACGCTCAGAATTTAAGGTTCTGTATTCTCGCATCGCTTCGTACCACAACTCTGTTTTGCCTAATCTATCACGTCTTCCAGTGAACTCTACGAGGATCGCTGATGCTATGCGTGAAAGTTTGCTTCAGTGAATTTAGGTATATTTTGTTTCTTCGCCATCTGCCTGTCGTTTAAGTGCTTTTTGTACCCAATTTTTTATATCCGCAGTTCTAGAGGAAAGTGTTGAAAATGTGCTCAGTCGGGTAGATAAAGCTTATTTTGACTTGAGTTGACGAGATCATCTAAAAGAACAGGTACTCCGAAGTTGAAGAGAGCTGGAGGAAGTCTATATGCCCTGCGATCTTATTCACTTTCAACAGTCTGATCTAACGTGCGACTTCTGTACGTGAAGGCGGGGCCAGAGGTACCGCCCAATGAGAAGGGAGCCAAGGGCCGATGGAGCAGCTGGTAAAGCAGGTGGATCAAGCTGCTTTTCAGTGTTCGGCTCAACGCTCCAAGCATTTTGACAAACTGGATCGGTCGTCCACCTTCGTCATGTGTGATTTCGCTAACACCAGGTCTGCCCGTTTCGCGTATCAGACGGAGTAACTTAAGATGGTTACCAACGGCAGCGAACATTTCCATCTCTGATGCTAGATGAAACTACCAGACCTCGTGGTCTTTATTCAGGCTAGCACGCAATTTGCCGGTGAGAATTTTGCGATTCTCGCAGTGTTCGCTCCCAGCCGGAATGTGTCGGCGAGCATCCAGTAGTTCCAGAGACTGAATACAGACCCAACGTCAGTCAAGGATGGCAATTCGATTTGCCACGTGAAGATATGCCTACTACTAATAACGTCTGGTGGATATGCGGCCAATGGTCCTCCACTGAGTTCAGTGTTCACACAGCTCGGATGTCAGCGTACTTTGATACACCTTTAGAACATCTGGCTTCGCCAGCTGGCAAGCATCTATGCGTTCACAGCGTCGCTGCATTCGCCTACCGAAGCGAACTGTAAGATCGGCAGGAAGGAGCGCGTCGTCAGAGTTCAGGTTCGCGCTCCGAATAAGTCCACAGTTTTGGGCAGAGCCTCTCAAGCGGTAACCGATCGCAATGAGACAGATTTGCGGAAATCGCTGGTCTGAGGCTGGTAAGCGTCGAGTCACTATTATGCGGGTGTTGTGTCGGAAGTTAGTGCCTGCAAGAAATAGGCGAGTATCTTCATATAAATGCAGTAGCCGCTCACGGTTATCATTACGTGAGGCTACACCACGTTGCCCTCCCAGATGCAGCTATTATGTGGACAATTTTCCAACTTCAGGGTTCAGATTCCCAAGCAGCACCGCAGTATCCTTTTCTTTTGTGAAGAAGGAGCTCGTTTAGTTGGTGATAGAAGTCGTCTTTTACCGAGTCAAGACTACAGTTTGTGGGGGCTTAGGCAGCGATGACAAACAGACACTTATTAGACATGCGCGACTTTGAATCTTTGTACGTGCCAACCAGTCGGACCGCATAAAGCCGGCCACTGACGGGAATCCAATCAGCCATAGCAAATTCAGCCCGGGCACTTAGGGCAATGCCGATACCGGCTTGGCCGGCAGTTGAAGCTGCATCATCTCCCGATGGAGCTAGATTCTGGCATACTGGTCTCTAATGTTCCAGGTATGTGCTGACTGTTGGCCAATCTGAGGGAGGATCGAGAGCTACAAATAGATTTTGATGAACTGGGCATGTCTGGTTGATTGAACATGGGTCTGTGGACAGGCAGGAGTGACGCTCCACTTTTGCGTGTGTCTTGAAACCAGAAGATAAATCTATCAAATTAAGGTGGAGGAGAACCAAGAACTGGGTGTTTAAACACAGGTGGATGAAAGTGAAGTTGGAACGGGACAATAAGGATGAAAAAGCGTAAGAGGAGGAATAAAGGGACAGGAAAGTTTGAGCGGTAGCATTCAAAGCTCTAACTACCATGCACAATGTAGCAGACAGGGCACCGTTGATTATCCTCCACGATGGCCAGAGCATCAACAAATGGTTAGAAGATAAATTCATAGTATTGAGTGGGCAGGAAACTGTCAGGTTGCCCAGGCCTAGACAGGAGAACGATTAGGATTTTCAACCAAAGCCTGACCGCAAGGTCTACAGAGAGCCCATTTTAAAGAGTAGGGAGCCACCTACACTCTAACCTGGAAGACCAAGAGGCTGAGTTGGTCTGGCTTCTAATCACTAACTACTCTGGTCTGAGTAGCTCTGAAGATGCAAAAGCACGTCTCAGCAGAGCTCAATGGATCGCTGAGGCATGTAAACCATCGCACCACGTTAAGGGCCCGCCTTGTCGCAATAGGCTGTCATACACCTTACTCCTGGCATTTTCCGGAGGACCAGTTAATTCGTTACAAGCAGCTTGAGCATGCGCGGGGAAAGGAACACATTCCTGACTTTTTGTTGAGATGGTAGCAACCGTGGTCGAATACACATGAAGTTAAGCGACAGAAAGTGTTTTACTTAAGCCGGGCGATAGAAAGATTGCAAGCGACAGAGACGCTTCCTTACCATCCGAGAGTAACTAACTCCGCCTGATCACCAAGACTGCCGTGCGAGAATAGGATGAATATGCAGATAAAAGATGTGGTTTCACTCTTTCAGCGCACTTTGCGAATGAGAATCCCATCTACTCACAAACCCGTCAAAAGATACCTTGACTCTCATCGCCGACCGACATCATCCCGTGCGAAATGGTAGCCGGTCCGACAAGTGGCCAGAAAGACGGTACAAGGATCGCTTGCAGATCGCACTTCTCAGAATGTTCGGTGAGAAAAGCGCTTGGTTTCGTAATTGCGCCATTAAAAAGTAATAGTGACGGGAGGGAGATAAAACTAAGAAGCGGATATTTCTGTAAGAAAACAGACCAAGCAAACTGGGAACATTAAAGGAAACCAAGTAACAGATGATAATTATGAAAATACGCAAGTGGGACAGACGAAGCGAGCGACCAATCAAGAAACTGGTCTACAACTGTTCTGAAATGTTAAAACATGTCTTTGATTCATCAAAGGATTAACGGTGGACGAGAAATTTGATCGCAACTTAAAGCAAGAAAGTGCTACGCAGAAAAAACATATAGTAACAGCAAACCTTGTTTAAGGACTCAGCGGAGAGAATGAGACGGCAGGTTGAGACATATTTCTCCATTGTTCGCCTCAGGGCATGCTGAGCATCACGAGTGAGATGGTCGGCCTCATGAAGTACCACAACCTTAAAATCACGTTGTTGAGAAGTATCCAACTGCGGAGTAGAAGCCATTTTCTTGATGAGTTCTTGGATGACGACGCGATCATATATGCCGACCTCACTTAAAGGAGAAATAAAGTAACGGGGAACGAATAAATAGTGGTCGAAAAGTAACAGAAGGAAACCATAACAGTTCCTTCAGTGACAAGTGGAAGAGAATGGGAATATACCTCGAAAACTGCGACACAAAATACGTATCAACTCATGTCAAGTGGTGTAGCTTAAACAAAACCAAAATGGCATTTCATGTTGGTGAGGAGTCACAAAGGATAGGCACAGAGCAAGGATGTATGAATCAAAAGGCTGATATCTTGATACCCGCATTCGTTGAAGTAGTGAAACGACACAGAACAACAGAGAAAATAAAGAACGTGGGTGCAGATCTGAGCAAAATGGTGAATTCCATAGCCAAACAACCGTCAAATTTACTCAAAAGTGAGCATGACAAAGCTGAACTACTTGTAATGGAGACCGACTACAGGTACACCATTAATTTGCATCACCTGAAGCCGCCAACGGCACCACCATTTGACAGTCATGAGGGCTGCATGCTCTGCATGTTCCATATAACGCAATGTGAAGGTTTGCTACAGAAAGCAATGCCGCTGACGCAGTGCATCGTTGATACATATGTTGCGGCTGGAGCAAACTTTAGCATGGTGTGATGGTTTGTGTGCTTCCGTGTTCCGTTGAGATAAACGGGGTGTCAGTTATCCAGAATCTCTCTAACTGTTTATATGAGAAATAAATAAGTACAAGCGAAACGAAATTAGCTGAGAGGACTTCCATGTCTGCTCGAACAGAGAGAACGATATCTGGCATAGGACCTTATCATCCTTAAATAACGGGGGTACAAGAGAATCCGTAGCACCAGCATGGAACCGATAGAAAGCTGCGGCGGCGTTTCGGAGTTCAGCCTCCGATGGAGTCTACACATCCACCGGCCATGGCTGGGACTGCGTCATCTCAGTAGGAAGAGGTACAGAAGCAAAGGGTAACAGAACTGCTTCTACAAGTGCTCCGGTTAACGAGCCAGACGGAGTCACTTATTGGGAACTACTGCACCGATACTGCCTCATCAACGCATAAATTCCTGGGGGACGTAGTGCGAATCAACTGTAAGAGCCTATGGCAATTACTCACCCTTATTTTTAAGACCCTTTGAATCCACCACACCTGTCAGCAGAAAAACGCAGTTTCATCTCACACCTAATAGTAGGCCAACCTCCATTCCAGTGCAATGCTGCGATCGCACTTCAGAGCTGCGTGTGCTCCCCACTACCTTGTGGGTCAGGCTATTGAGTCAAAGTCTAGAGGGGGGCACATTAAGGAAGAGCCAACTCTCGGGATGGGAAGCCGCTGAGTAGTAGCTGCTCAAAAGACAACATTGCCGGGAAGATCCTACTTCCTCGGCATCTCATAATTCAAACGAATCCTCCTCTAGTGTTTAGCAGCATTCCACTAATGTTATCAGGGGACCTAGGTTATAGATTCGGAAGCATTCTGATTGCAAATCGGTTTTGCATACGTTTATATTTTGATTTACTGGCATATATGGTCATCATCAGCATCACCATTACCATCCTCATCAGCGTCATCATCATCAAGAACATCGGTACCTTATTTGAACCGATGCTTCCGCGTCGTACAACCACGGTGACCTACGGAAGGAAGAACAATAAGAGGGAAAGAAGAGGGACCTAGCGTAAAACCTTAATGCCCAAAAAACAAACGCTCAGGTGGAATGTGTATACGCGTTGTCAACATACCACCACAAACAGCTGGACAGTATGAAAAGATAAAGTGGCATTGGCGAGACAGCTTCCTTGCGACTTTCACTAACCCGCGTCATACTCAGTCATCACCCCAAAGATAAGCCAGCATCAAACGCAATTTAAACGAGCAGTCCGACTACAAGACGACAGCAGACGCGTCACTGGTGTCGACTGCGAGTCATGTCCTGTAACGTTCCGAGTCAAGCAGGCGAGTCACGTGGACTCCACAGCCTGGAAGGCGACCCAGAGTGTTCGTCAGTGACTCCATTTCCCGCTGCCAAGTTAACTTTTGTCTACCTCGAGCCTTGCGCTACCCCACACCTAGTAAACAAAACAACCCCACCTCGGTAAGCGATGATCGGGCATACGTAGTAGGTGCCCCAGCAAACCCAACATACTCAGTGTTATTTGTTGTTCTAAGGAACTAGCTTGGTTATTGTTGTAACGCTGCCCTTTGGCTCTGCCTCTCTGCGCTACTAACCAGCCGGGGAAAACAAAACGCCGAGCCTGCTGGACCGAAGTATATTAGGCACAGAACATGGCTACTTTTATAGGTCACATGCGCTTACCTCGCTGAGGTGACTCACATCTGTTGTCTGAACAGATTCGACTCTGGCAGCCGCCATCACCGTCTGACTGTAGGTAGGACCACGTCCGCGACATAGCAACCCGTGCGGCGATGACGGTCTGATTTCGTCAGCTTCCGGTTTGACCATGACAACCAGTCTGTCAGCCGCTCACGTGATCTGGCCGATCTCGCCCCGCTCGTGTGCACCATCGTAGTCAGCTGTTTCGCCTCAGTGACAGTTATCACTACCTAATACTCGCCTACGCACATCACCGTTTAGGACACGCTGGTTCCACCCGACACCAACAATGATTCGCAGACGACGAGCAAAGACTTGAAGGTGCCATAGATCCTCAGATCGAAGGGGCCAAGTTTCACTACCATACAGTAAGACGTTCCTCACTGTGGTCTTGCAAACACGGCTTTTAAGATGGAGGGAACTCCCTTTCTGACGCTAAAGAAGTCTCCAAATCAAAGAGGAAGTTTCGGCTTTTGCAAAAAGTGAACCGACTTCCGTTTCTATGCGCCCATCGTTGCTGATGCAGCTGCCAAGAGAAGTGAGTTGTTCAACTACCTCGAGTTCGTTGCTATCAAGAGTCGAATGATTATCAAGTGACTGGAGGTCGTGAAACATAACTAGCACTATGAAGGTGCGAAGCGCATATCAAATAATGGGACCACTCCATACAGGCTATTCAGGGTTGATTGTGCCGCCCCAACATCTTTAAACGGCAAGAGGATAGCGTCTGCATAATCAAGATTAATTAACGTTTCACCAGGCAGGACCTCAACAATATCATAACGAACTGGCCAGCAACTGTCAGTGATGAATAAGGTTGGTGAGCCGAACGCTGATTGGGATCGTCTCAAGTGTGCCAAGAAGAATGTCTTTGACGCTTGTTGTGCGCCAGACTTGAGACGTCGAAAATGTGAATAGATCTCTGAGGCATCGAACAGTATGATCGAAGCGCGTAAACGGGTTCCGATAGGAACTGAGTTACAGTGTATCCGTATATCCCTGAAACGACCTCTGACAAGGAGTCTTCGAATCGACCGGGAACGTTGGTGGGTTGCAAAGGACCAAGATGGAGAAAGCCAGCGCTAGTAGAAACAGCCGAATGCTATTCCAGCTCACCCGGAACATGGGTCACAGAAAGTCATCAGTTGGTGAGACAACAGCTGAGAAACATGGATTTTTGATCCATTCTCAGTTTCGTCGACTAACCCCATGGGCAGAACATTTTGAGGAACAGTTCAGCAGGCCTACTGCGACACTGCCGCTTGTTGAATCACCTGAGCCAAGGTATGAAACTGATGTCACCCCTCCTACTTTGGAGGAGATTCGGTATGAGCTCGCCGTCTTAAAACGAAACAAGGCTCCGGGATCCGATGATTTTCTCTTATTTTTGCTAAAAGATGGTAGTGATAACTTGTTGACTGAACTTGTTTCTCTTTACAACATGATTTGTAACACAGAACTGTCTTCAGCCTGGGGACTATCAAATGTTGTGACCAGTTTCAAGAAGGGTCAGTGTACTTTGTGCAAAAACCATTGAGATACTAGCTTTATTTCAAGTGCCTCAAAAGTTCTCGCGGGTATCATTCCTCGACGATTTACTGGTCCCGTGAGAAGCAATCATTGAAAGCCAGGCTGGTTTCCGCCCTGGCCGTGGTTGCATCGATCACATATGTAGTCTTCGCCGTTTTAGAGCAGCGACCCATACAGACGAGGGACTACGGTGCTTTTTCTTGATCTGAAAACTGCTTTCGGCTCTGTTGACTGCGCCAGCCCGCGGCACTGCTTATCCATGATGGTGGTGCCAGTTAAATTCCTTTTCATTCTGAAGTCCCTCTACCGTGATTCCCGAGGCCGTGTAAGGGTCTACAGCAAACTCTCTCCTGAGTATCTCACGACAAGTGGAGTTCACCAGGATTGTTTTAATCGCCCTTCCTCTTCAACTTTGCGATTAAAATAATGATGAATGACTCGGTTCTTTCAGACCATTCTGGAGTGGAAGTTCTTCCAGGCGACCGACTGACAAACCGGGAGCATGCGGAGGACATAGTTCTCCTCGGGTTTGATGCGTTGGCTATGCAAATAATACCGCACAGACTTGTGAGTAGCGCTGCACGGTTCGGCATGTACTTTGCACTTTAAAGTGTAAAGTGCTGTTGCAGGACTGGGCCGACACCCCTCTGGTTTTAGCTATTTTCGAATGGCCACTGGATGTGGTGGATCGGTTCACTTACCTTAATAGCTGTGTAACCTCTTGTGATCACATCACTGGGGTTGTTACTTCACGTATCAGTAAGGCCTAAGCGGGATATCAGGTTGTCAGTGAAAGGCAGGGCGTATAACGCTGCGATAAGGTCTGTGTTACTGTTTGGATCAGAGACCTGGCCGGTTTGCAGTGAGAATATTAAACGATTGGCCGTGTTTGAAAACCGGCGCTTGTGGAGTATCACTCACATTTGGTGGGAACATCGGGTGAGCAATGCTCAGGTCCACCAGTTGGTTTTTGGCAAGAAGCCTTCTGGTTCCTCACTGGAGTGTTTGATAAATCTTAGTCGAATACGCTGGCTAAGCCATGTCCTCCGTATGCCAGTTGATCGGCTTCCTCGGCGTGTATTAAACGCCGTGGCCGCACCAAGTTGGGCAAAACCACGAGGTGGCCAGTCCATGACATGGCATAAAAGCTAGAAGAAATTGACTGAGAA